TGATGAATGCCCTCGGATAGCCATTTTGCACAAAATGGTCGCGGAGATAACGAACATCACGTGCTCTGTCCTCCGGTTTGCTGCAATGAGTTAAGATCCGTTTGAAGAGCGTCTTCACACAGCTTCGTTTATGAGCGACCGGATGGTTGCTGTGAAAGCTGAGGAGCTGTGTGGTGTTCGTTGCCTTCCTATAAACTGTCGTTTCAAGTTCACCGTTAGGGTTTCGTCTGAAAAGCACATCCAGGAAGGTAAACCGCTGCTCCTGTTCTTATTACCTTGTGAATTTTATATCAGGGAAGACTGCGTTGAGCAGGCTATGGAAGTGTTGCAGCATGTCCTTCTATACGACGACGAACGTGCCGTCACTGTAACGGCGCCGAAACACCGGTTCACGTTGGATGAAGGCAATCTTTTCTAACTCCTTCGGACCAGTTCTGCCACTAAACCTGAGACCGGTGAACCCATTGGGGTTCCCTTGATTTGTTCATAGTGAAAGTGAAGAAAGTTCGTTGGCAGAATTTGGACAGTCTCATGAGGTATTCAATTTTAAGGGCATTCTGAGTCTCATCGTACGCCTCTTCAAGTCTCTTGTGCAAGACGTCGCAGGTCACGTTTGGCGGGATGGATGTGAATAACGACGTCACGTCGAAGGAAACCATGATTTCGTCCGATTGAATCCTCCGACCTCGGAGGTCTTTGAGGAAATGAGAGGCTGATTGAACTGAGGTAGTCGAATTGCCTTGGAGGAACTTCAGTTTTGAGCACATTCACTTTGCCTAATTGTAGGTGGGGCTGCCTTCTACGGCACCGATTGGCCGAAGTTGGATATTTGTTCCGGTGCTCAAATCTTCTTCTTCTCCTTCTTCACTTACGCATACACCTGGAATTCGGAATTTCGCCTTCATTAATCGTTTAGTTCTGCTTGGGTCGTGAATCTCGTCGGAATTCAATTTCTATGGAGGGACGTTGTCGTAATTATAAACATGCCGACGTTTTAGTGAAAGATCAGTTAACCAATTAGTAAAAAGTGCTTTAATTGATTTCGATGTATTATGAGGCCGAACATGACGCACCATGAGGTTTTGGTTGCAACGGTGGCAACACATGTGTCCACACTGGTCAAACTGTAGGTCAATTTGATTTGCATGGCATATGCTGCACCTCAGTGGGTCACACGTGGAGTCCTCCTTGACGAAGACCTGCTTTCTCTGTTCTATGTCATTTGACAGGTCGTAAAACTGCGAGTTCCAGCAGGACATACGTACCTTGAAAATGGTGCGGAAGGGGCAAAAGTAATCTATGCAGGGCATCGATTATTGACCAGATCTAGTAAAAAAAGAATTGCTGCTGTCCACTTTTGTAGAGACGATAAAATACAGTCCTGATCAACACTTAAGACGCACTACCGGTACGTCATTCATTGAGGATGGACTACATTTCACAGGGGAGTGAAGTGCTCCAAGCTGGCATCATCCCAGAGCAGAAGAATGGCAGTCTGCTCTGCCCTCTGTCTCAGCTTTGGTGCTGTCATGGTCTGGTGCGGTCGAAAAAGCCGTCGCCAACCCCGTAGAGAGTCGAGATCAATCACTAAGTAGACCCAAGTACATACTTAACATCTTCCCGTCCTGTGTTTGGGTGGATCCGACTGACGACGTGAACTGGTGGATGAGGATGACACTTGTACTTGAAATGTTTATCGAGTGCCGACTATCAGTAGTATTTCCGATATTTTTTATTATCTACAATGAGTCGGTCCTAGGGAGTCGCCCGGGGTAGTAGGCTTGGTATCTTAATCAAGGCAAAAAGTGACATCATCAGTCTGTTTCGAGTTCGTTTTTTATAAGTACAGTTTAGCAGTCCATTAGGGTAAATTAGGTTACACTGGCGAAACTGAAGCCAGGAGAAGGACAAAATAATGCAACGTAAGCGCATTTAAGTGAAAAACGAAAGACAGATGCCTCTGAAACCGTAAGCGCATATTCAAAAACGCTTCGTTCTTGTACACTTAAAGCGTTTGTTTTCATAAACGTCAGTAAGTGTAGACATATTTGGAAGCGTTACAACGGATATGTTAGTCCATTGAAAGTAAGCCGAAATCATGTCGTACAATGCCAAACATATTCTTGTAACCTTAGGATATTGGCCTCGAATTAGCTCCTTATCGACCGCCTACATGAACTGCATCCGTAATAAGTGACTACTTAATTAGTATGGATCTTTCCGTTGACTTCCGATGCCTTTATAAATTCAAAGGTGTGTAATAGAAAACATGCACAAAAATAACATTTCTCATTACCATCTGGGATCAAATTAAGACTTTTCCAAGCTTTATGCCTGAATAATGTGTTTCCTTTGATTCCAGGAAAGTTTATATTCATGGGATATTTCAAAACCTTGAAATGTCCGGTCGCAGAGTCGAATCGACCTATTTATAAATGCTGCTTATAAAGTGGAAAGCGTGGCCTGCATCCTATATGTCTTCTTTATACTCTCAAACGTAAATGAATGCTGCTCCTTATCCAAAAGTGCAAAGCTTGGGGTTTAGAAACTCTGTGAGTGTAAAGGCAGGCCGGGTTCAACATTATTTGGATAAATTTTCTAAAAATAAAGATGATCTTTCTTTAAGTGCAAGATTTGAAGATGTGACTTGTTACCAAGTGAATAAAAAGAGAATCTTGCTGTGCATGTTTCCAATAAAATGTATTTGAAATTATGAGGTTCTCAAAAAATCAGTGAATACAATTAATCGTACTTATCAATAAGAAGCTCTTTCGAAAGCCGGTATCCTGATGTGAATGGAATATTAAAATAATACGTGACAAGATAATCAAAACTACAGCTCTAACGATTTAATCATTTTGGATTTAAAACACACTCCAAAATCTCAGTCAAAATCTTCCTGAGACGGCATTCTATTGTAAGCTTCTTTTAACTTTGAGCGTTTTCTCCCCAAATAACGGTTAGTAATCAACAAACTGCAAACAAATACTCTAAATAATGCTCCTCAAAATTATCTGGATCTACGCTCACGATTTTCCGAACGTCCAAAACGTCTAAATTGTAAAAAAATGTATCTAATATCAAAAATGGAGAAAAAAGCTTCAGCATGATCGACAGTGCCGTAGAAAATCCATACGTTGCATTAGAATTATTTGATTAACGATGGACGTTTATGTATGATAAACAATTGGAAGGGGACTTGCGTTGTATGCAGCGGCACAGAAATCCTAACCCGATCAACATGCTCACCGACTCAGGTCTTGTATTTCAGTTAGGCAGGCATATGCCAAGAAAAGCTCCATGGTATAGGGGGACGATCATCTATCGTTTCGTAGGAAGTCACTCGTCCAGCTGTGCCTCAGGGCTTTCTCTCGTGTCCAACCAGAAGCCACACAGCGGCGCATGATATAGGCAGAATGGTTTTGCCGACAAAAACAAGGGAGATTAGAATGGTCCTTTCTGGCTTATTAGCCGTCGTCAGCCAATCATACCCAACTCCCAAATGTGGAACACCCCTAGGCTCAAACACGGGACCTCTTAGCTAGACGTTTAACGCCTCTAACCACTGGGTCACGGGCCACTTTCATAAACGATTTCTTGTTCTGTAAAAAGCGGAAACTAAGAAATGAACCCGACGACATACTTTATCATCTCTATTGTACTGACGTATGTCTACTCCATAACGTAGACTTTTTTAAAAAATGAACGAAAACACCGAATTATAGAATTGCAAAACTCCTTTTCTGGAGACAACTGCTAATAAATAGTGATTTTTTTCGCGGAAATTACCGGGTCTCCTAAACTATCATGAAAGTGAAGCGTAGCCTGGGAGTGGAGATCAGTGGTCTGTCCTGATTTGAAGACGGGATATCAGGTCCTCAGACATGCTATAGACCTCAAGGCTGGAGTTCCCTTAACGGACGAGTGACTAAAAGCGATCGGCAGCATTCAGGACAACTGGGTAATCCGAACCGTCAGAATGTGGGCTCCTGACTTCGGGAAATAAAATGCTCGTAGAATAACTAGTTCGAATTCAAATCAACAATTTCACGGTTGACGTTATGGCATGGAGGATGAACCAGGACTGGACATTCCGGCTTCTTTGTTCTCCCTCGAAAACACTTATTAGAAGGAGTATTAATGTTTTCTACTCGTGGTGCGTTATATAGGTGCTATAATGCCAATTTTGCTTACCGTAGTTTACTGACTTGTTTGAAGTAGGTGCAATTAGGTTACTCATCTCATTTGGAAAAATCGGAAGACAGTCATTACTATGCGCCAAACGATTGCAGTATTGCATATGAATTGTTTACTCCGCATAAAGGTGGTTTTCACCATACAGCTCACGCTGGCAATAACTAAAAATGCTGACTGCAATCCTTCGATTTCACCCTGCCTTAAAGTACAACAGCCCAGACCTCGGTTATCCTGTGGATCGCAGAAGTGTCCTAAGTGGTTCGTGGTTACAATCTATATAAAAATAAGCTATTCTGTCTTCGTCAAAGCTACCGTAATAAAAGCCGAGTTAACTGCCTTAAACATCATTAAATTCACTTCAAGACACAGTCCTGTAGATACGGTTACGTCAGAAGGCAACTGATGAACATTGCTGTAGTCCTGAAGAACCAAACCCATTCTCAGTTCTACCATGCCATTAAAGATTCGAGTGCGCGTGCCCCCACCAATAACGGAGTTGGGAGTGAGTTCAAAGACTTTGTGTGCCTAAAGTACACGACCCACCGCTGTATTGCAGGTGTTAACAAGACCACTCAATTGGTTTAGGCTGTAGGTACCCAGATCAAGCACCTACGCTAGAGATAGCAACGCGCATCACTAGTTCCGTCTTCCCAATTTAACCGGACATGACTAAAAGCACTGATAGAGGTAGCTTCTAAAAAGGGGCTAAAATATCGACCATTTACTGCAACTCTTTGACTCCTGCTAACAAAACGTTTCCACTTTCAATGGCAGAACGTACGAACAGATCAAAAGGGACACCAATGGGTTCTTCAATATCCAGCCTCCTTGTGGAACCAGCCTTACAAGAGCTGGAAAAAGTCGCCTGCAGTCACTATGAACCAGCGTTTTGGCGCCGACACGTGGACGACAGCTTTGTTTTAATTGAAAGGAGCAGACTAGCAGACTCTCAAGACCTGCTCAGCGGCATCTTCCCCGACATTCAGTCTACAGAGGAGAATGAAAATGCCGGAGAGTAAATTTAACTTGACGTCCTCGTCACACGCAGACCCAATGCAGAACTCAGCGCCACGGTGTACAGAAAGGCGACTAACACAACTCAGCTGGTTAACTACCATAGCAATCACTCGATGGCGCGTAAAGGCGGTTGTGTTAGAGCACTCTTCCAAAGAGTAAAAGCGCATTCCAATGAACCGGAGAGGAGAGCACGGGAACTACGGCATCTTCGGAACCAACCGGCAAGGAATGGATACCTAACAACATTGTCAGCCGCCGCCTCCACACGCACCCACGGCGAACAAACGGAGGAGAGCCATTAACACTCTGGCACCCTCTGCCATCTATAAAGAATGTGTCCAAAGTAACGGAACGTATCGCTGGCAATGGCTCGAGCCAGCGACAAGACAAGGCAAGAACTGCGAGAGGCCTGGGTGTCTGACACCAACTCCATCAACCGACGCGTTAATATGCCGTCCCAACTATCACGCGCTTCGTCCTCGCGGCCAAAAGGCGCGACCGAATTTCCAGCCAAAAGTGCCCGCCATCACGACGCCGTGAAACGGGATGGATTCAGTTTTCTCACGGAAAGCACTTTTACTCCCCCCCTCCCCCATTTTTATCTGACTACAAAACTGATTGTGTAGCGTTGCGTTCTCAGTCTCTGATGATAAGCTCCTCTACAAAACCGAAAGTTCAGGCTAATACACGTATTGTCCCGGTGATCGTGCGTTCATCACCCTTGCAACAAACACCTGGAACATGCATATTCGCTCCTATTCGTAAATAGAGACTACATTCTACTTGATTAGCTATGGATGTCATACTGTTTCGAAGGCTATTGACTAGGTTCAGCTTATAAATCTCTTTATTTGTCTCCTTGCCTCTCTTGTCTTTGTCGGTGGTGCTTTCTTCCGACTTCTCCGACGTAGTTCCTTTGTCCGCAACTGCACCAGATCCGATAAACGACTCCAGGAGTTTCTTACCGGGGCAGCGGGTTTTCCGGTTTCTTTAACTGATGCCTAATGGTTGCCTCTGGTCTGTGTGCAACTCCGACCTCAAGTGGTGCGAGAAGGCGGCTGACAGCTTCCGAAACGTTCTTGACATATGGAAGCGCTCGCCATAATTGGATGCCCGTGCGGTTAGGCCTGTTAGTTTGAATTCCACGCATCTAGCCTCGGGTGTCACACACTTCGGGGCTGGTTTTGACTGACTGAAGACGGCAAATAAGCCAGAAATGGCCATTTCAGTCATCCTTATCTTTGTCGATAATAACATACTGCCTATATCATGCGTCGCTGTGCGGCTGCTGGTTAGGCTCGAGAGAGAGAGCCCGCAGGGCAAAACGGGACGAGTGAGTTGCGTAAGAACGATCGTTGTGCGACCCCTACCATTGTATATTCCCGATCGGAAACAAACAGGGCGACGGGCTCGTGGTCCAGTGGTTAGAGGCGTGGGCTTCTAACTAGCAGGTCGCGAGTTCGAGCATCGCGTGTTTCACAGCTCGGGGTTGGGTATGACTGGCTGACGACGACTAATAAGCCAGAAATGGCCATTGCAGTCTCCCTTGTCTTTGTTGGTAATGCTATTCTGCCTATATCATGCGCCGCTGTGCGGCTGCCTGTTGGGCTCGAGAAAGAGAGCCCATAAGGCACAACAGAACTAGTGAGTTCCGTAAGAGCGATCGGTGATCGCCACTAGCAATGAAGAAAGGTCGGCTAAAAAACAGTTCGACTGTCTTTTCCGACGATGTTCGCAGGATTAGGGCAGGGACGATGACTTGCGCCCGAACTAGTTTAAAGTGCTAGTAGACTTGCGCAGCATCAACCGCACTCATCCGCTATCCCCATCTAGGTCCGGTGTCAAGACAGAGTCCAGAATACTGGAGGCGGAAGAGGCGGAGGTGGCTGACACGGCGAGAACCCGCACCTAGGCGTACCTGGTGCACAACAGACACTGACCAGTATTTTATACATCAGGAAAACGGGAGCTGGGCGGCACGGATCCAAATTAGCGCAACGTCAGCCTGTGACTGGGTCCGTTAGCACACCCCAAGTGTTGGAATTTGTTGTCGGGGTGACTCCCCGATAACACCCGCCGGACTCCGATTTGACCTCTGTACCGGTCCAGCGCATCTGCCGCGTGGCACTTTTAGGGGAAAAACTCGGTTGGAGACGGTGATAGGCACCCCTCCTATTCTACGGGTGATCTTGCAGTTAGAGCTTCGGGGATATTCATTCTCATGTCCCAACTTTCATCCCCTTAACTTCCCCCCCCCCCAATCCTTTCCCTCCTAAAACTGACCCTTAATGGAATTTAATGCACGACCGCATGAAATACGGGCAGGTCTTATTCCTGTGTCTAAGTCGGCAGCAAACAACAATTCGACAAAAAAGCTAAAATTCAGTCAAAAAATAAAGGACAAGGATGTAAACTTACAGGTCATGGCGACTTTGATAGAGTGTGTCTATCAGGGGCAGTCCAAAACAGAGGACCTGAGAAATTTTTCCGATTCTTGTAACGAACCCAATCGACCAGATTCCCGGATTGTTGAAACTTATGCGAAAGTAGAAACTAAAACAAGAATATGTGCGAGGCAAGAAGGAGAATAGCAAGTTCCGCCATAATTTAGAAAGTTTATGGAAGCTTAATTCTGCTTGAATTTCCGACAGGAATAATCGTCTTCCTGGAAGCGACAACGCCCCCCCCCCTTAAGTTACCTTCCCCACTTTTAACTTTAAAGAGGGTGAACTTATCCTATGTGATGAGATATGTAATTTCCGGTAAAATAAAGAGAAGTGCCTTAATATTAGAAAATACAGACAAACTTAAGTAAAAAACAATCACTTTCAAAGCTGATTTGACAATAACAGACAAGAGCGAAGAAGATGATGGATCAGATACGCATTTTGACATCCATAACCCGCACGGTCCGCTAGCCCAAGCGATTAGAAAGTCCTTCTCCCAAGTAAAGCATTGTTGACAGAAGGACTGTCGGTAGACGGCAACTGTCGTAAACATTTAAATTTGGTTTTCGTCTTTATGAGATCGACAGAAGCATGTGACTATCTGTTCCGTCCTAAGTGTCAGACTAGACATTTCATACTTTTGCTTATATCAGGTACTTTCAGAGAGGCTTCCTAGCAAGCACAAAACTGACGTGTGAGCATGAGAATGCCAAAGCCACCACAGACACCAGCAGTCGTACTCCTAGCGCCAAATCTGACGCTCTCCAAAGGTAAAGAAAACACCACATTGATAAGAGGTACCTGCGAAAGGCGTTTACAGTGATACCGAAACTGTGGTGGGAAGTCACATGATAAAATGACAGTCGTTTATATAAACTTTAATTGACGTGCCAAGCGCCAACTAAAAGGGTGACTAAAACACCGAGAAATTAGAGACAGGCATGGATGAAGAAACTTCCCCTCTATATCAGCAATTGTGAATCGTTTAAGGAGTCATTACAAATATATTTGGCCTCTGGCTCCGACGACCTAGACATATCAAAGTTAGCGGAGATGGCTGACCGTATGATGGAGGTTGAGCGTTTGTCATCCCCGACGATTGCCTAGGTGTCCCAGCCTCTCACAGTGCCCAACTCTAACTTGACTGAACTAAAGACACAGATTGACCAGTTGTCAACGACTGTTGCCGCTTTGCAGCTGCGCAGTCCCCCCGGTCCCTCTCGACGTCCCTTCCGCCGTGACCGTCTTCGTTTCCGCCCTCGCTCCAGGACCGCCAACCTATGTTGTTATGATGTCAACTATGGAGATAAGGCGCGGCTCTGCGTCCCACCCTGTTCCTTCAAGTCCGCGCGGGGAAACTCCTCGACCGGAGAGTAAATGCGGCCAAGATCTCTGACAACTCTACGGGTCGCATCTTTTACGTCAGTGATAACACAAGTGGCAGACATTTTTAGTCGACACTGGCGCTTAAATTAGTGTTATCCCTCCCACGCCAGCCGGCCGACGTTGCCCAAACCATGGTCTTCACCTCCAAGCTGTCACCTGTTCCCCCATTCCCACATTCGGCAGTCTGTCCCTCACCCTGAAAATCGGCCTTCGTCGGTCATTCACTTGGATCTTTGTGATTGCTGATGTCCCTCATGCAATCCTCGGCTCGGACTTTCTTGCCGAGTTCGATCTCCTTGTTGACTGCCGACGTGCCCGTCTCCTCGATCGCACAACCGGTCTGTTTGTTCGTGGACTAACTCCCTTTACTACCCTCACCAACGTATCTGTCTTGGACACGGATATTGCTAGCCCCAGCAGTCGGAATAAATACATTTTAACTAAAATCTATAAGTTCGAAGATTGCGTTCATTAAGAACTTTTCCCCCCATAGTATAGTATAGGATTACAATTTCACTGCCAAAAGTTAGTAGTAGGTTGGTTGAGGGTTGAGTGCTTCTTGTCGTGATTTATTACGCACAGTTCTATCTCATCGGATCCTAAAACGAAAATTTCCTGGAATTTCCATCTGGGAAATCTAAGCATCGTGAGTAAGTGGCTCGGTTCAGGAGCCAAGTCTTCTTAACCATCTGGAAACAAGTCCCCCACTTGCGCACCTTCCAAAGCTGTATGCCGGCGGCAGTACCATCGGAAATATGCCGACTGCCAGTTACAAGAGAAATGCGCTCTCTTTTATTACTTAGCAATTTGTCTAATTTGAATTATACAATTTCTGACATCCTATGTAGTGGCGAAATTACTCCCATCCGCGAGCGGCAGGAAACTGGTCCGAAAATTATGTAGTCTTTGTCTTTTCTGCTGATGTCTAAGCCCTCCCATTTGAGTGTGATCTTGGGATTCAAATGTTTCCTATCGGGATTACATTATGACTACTTGCTGCGACTGGATGAGGCCTATCATTAGTGCGCCTTTATTAGCCCGAAAACCATTGAAGGAAGTTCTTGCACTTATCTGTGCCTGTTTCCTGGTTCTCCTTCTGTCTAAGGGCAATTCATATATGTGAAGAGTTGAAATCGCAGAGCGCGCTTGTATATCTGATGGCCCAACAGAAGCCCTTTACAGTCTGTAAACAATGTGACTGATGAAACGGGAGACATATGCACTTGAAGAGTGCTTTCTCTCTCGCTCTCTCGCCTAGGGGATTTTGCTTAATTAAAAAAGCTTCAAGTTTAGACGCTCATTGCTACTACGGTGACGAAATAAAACGAATTTTTCCCCAAGAAGTGGCCGCCAGTTATTTTCCTGTTGTCAACCCTGTTTGTATGTTCCTGGTAGTAACTGTCATTCGAGGTAGCCTTTTTAAGAAACTGAACACCATTCGGATCTCCTGGGAGCAAAATGACTTTAACCCCTTCCGCTGGCGTTATACTTCCCATCTACCATCTGCCATTGCAACTACGGAAGTGCGCTTCTTCGCAGGATTGGTTGCAGTGCACGATTACACCACACTAAATCCTTGGAGATTGATATGGGCCTTTTATCAAGGGACAGAGACAAGACCCCCACTGAATGAAGGTTGTTACTTTAACGGTCATTCAACAAGCTGTTTCACAAACAGGTGTAAATGCGCGGTTGACAGAAGTATGAAAATGATGTCCTTCAAGTGGCGATGACAGTCACGGATTTCGCAATCGGGAAGAGCAGTAAAGCGTTTGAGCTACTGAACGACTATGGAGATTTTGACATGAATTTCACTTTAAGAAGTAGTGTAGTAAGAAAACTAGGTCTCAACTCAACCAGAAGCAAATAATCTCTGATTTGATTCAGACCTCTGAAACTGATCTGAATCCGCCTAGAAATGAAACACGAAAAATGCAACAGGCCTCCAGCAAGGCCATCCTTTTGTGTGCAGGCAAGGTATGACCTACACTTCCGAAGGATGTCAGGCATCTGAACAGATACTACTGACAGTTTTTTACATCCCATTCAATGGAGACCGATCCTCTCCACTCCCTTACTTGTTGACCCGATGGTTCAGCTGAGTGTCCCACCAACGTTATGGCTAACTCATCCGGTATATCATCCGACCTAAATCCGGCTGGCTGGCAAGGACTGCTGGGCCTTCAACAAAAATGTGATTTCAAATTTCAAAAAACGAGCCCAGATATCCACTTCGTGCGGTTGGTATGAAGATCGACTCAATCCTACTACACAGCCTGCCACTATCGGATTGAACGGGAAGAAAACGACTCACGAGGAAATTAATCTTTTACACCGGACCTGTCGTATAAGCCATGATTAGTGGCGTCAAATGTGAGCGTTAAGGCCCAACTGTTGAACAGTTTGATCACTGCGAACGACAACATCCAGCAAGTACCCCACATAGGATGAGCGAAACACCAGAAATTGGCGCATAAATAAGTTTATAAGGATACAACCGTGAGCAGCATTTACTGCACTCTCTTCTCCCTCACCCACCGGGTGCTCCAACAATCAAGATGGACTCGGGCGTAGCGGCAGATAAAGCTAAACAG